AAAGACAAGCACGCGTCTGTTTTGCTCGGTTCTCGAAAAGCACGCACGCGCCACGGACTGGGTCAAAGTGAGTCGTCCCGTTCGAATCGGATTTATCCGGCGAGATTTCATCCCTGAAAGGAGGCTCGCGATCAGATATCCCCGGTTCACCGGTTGAATAGCGAGAGCCTCCAGATGCTCACAAAAGGATCCAGAGATTGGACGGCGTATATCTTTGGTCGGACCAGTTTTCAAATAAAACACGAGGCGCTGTTACACCGGAGGCTGCAGATGCAACCGAGGCTGACCGTGGCTTTGTCCGATCGGTCACGAGAATCTCAGTGTTCCCTTGTTTCGAAAGCGGCGCGTACGTAACCTAGTTACGATCTTGGCGAACATTCCCGATCGAACGAACGCGTCGAGTATTCTTGCAAACAACGCTCGTCAATTATTTTTAAGAAGACAGGCGTATAGGGAAGCTGGACGAAAATCGGTGAACATTAGGCTTTCTATCTCCTATCCCATTCTTACGATTTCTTCTTCCAAGACTTTCCAAGATTCTTATTATTGGAAGTATCGACATCTTCGACGTCGTTCACCGTAACGTTCGCGTGTGCGCGTAAAGATACGGGGACCGATGGAACGTGCAGTCATCTCGGATGGCAGTGTAACGGCACACAAACGGAACGTTTGTTTCGAAAGTCGATGGACGTTACCGAAAAGATAAGGCACGGCCAGATTGCGAATAACACAACGATCTAGGCAGAAAACGTTCTCATAGATATATTACCGCACACCGAACCACCGCGTATCGAGCGGTTCTGTGTTATCGTTCCGCTGATAGCTGGCACTAGACGCTAGTTACGTAACACTCTAGGGTCAACGTATCCACTAGCTTTATGCAATTGCATGTCGGTACGCTATGAATAGCTTTAGCTAGCGGTGGAAATAAACCGTGTCTACCGTGAACAAATCGTCAGTCGACGAAAATTCTATCTCGAGTCTCCTCGTTCCTTCTTTACTACATCAGAGTTCGTTTCTTAGAAAACTATCGTTCTCTTTTCAGTCGACTCAATGAAAACGAGATTAATTCGATACAAGTTAATCGTTCCGTCCGTTGTTCCGGATTTTCATCGGTCGATGGTAGTGTAACGTCCTTCATTAGCGAGAACGGCTCGTTTATCGAAGCCTGTTAATTAAACCTCTTTCCGCTACACGCTCGAGTAACATATCAATTTCCGTTCATTGCACCGGACTCGTTTAAGCTATCGCGAATCTACGCGAAATTAGATTTCACGAGAAAGCCTACGAAACTTGTGCCTGTTAACTTTTTTCTTCTGTATTTCTAAATATTCGCGGGATATTTGAAAGCTTATTTTATTGCAAGCGTACGTCTGAGGAACGAAGATAAATTCCGCGCTAACTTCGTTATCGTAGCTCGTCGGTGGGTTGGCCGCGGAAAAATCGACGGGTAACATGCGAGATGTTGCGTAACAGCAGCTTTTACCAGACCATTGTGAATACCGTTTAACAGAAGTTGAATGCGTCGTGAAAAGGTTTCGTCCCGAAGTGACCGACCACGGTGTTCAACAATGGAGCGAGGTGCACGCTTCTTGTTCTCTTTGCACGCAACGTTCGTAAATCGTGAATCATAAATCTCTCGTTTATTTATTTCCTTTGCCGAGCATTCATCGCGACGCTGAGTCTAGCATCTGGACGCTCGATTATCCGTTAAACGCGTTTTAGTCGGCCGATGTGATTACGCGTTAACGTCGGATGCTACCTGGCGAATTCCGGGCGAAAATTGCATCTTTCAAGAGCGGAATGAAATTTTCTCGGTAATCTCTATGGATGGGAACGTCGTTCTCGAGGAAACATTTGTAGCCCGCCTTCTAGCGGGGAAACTAATTGCTTGCACGGAGCAACGTGAATTATGAGATGAAATTAATTACTGCGTAACCCTTGATATTTGGAGGGCCGACGCACAACCGGAGAAGCCGGTCGAGGAGCCTAGCAGCGTTTATTCACACAGGGCGTGGTTGATCATAAATGGAAGGGAAACTGTACACAAGTTCGGTCTCGATTTCCAATCGTTCCGTGTTGCTTTCGTAAAAATCCTGTAACCGCTGTCGACCGCACAATCCCTTTTAGATAAATTATATAATACACGTTCGTTGACACCGTGGACCGTGTATACTTTGCTGGATCTTTCGTCGCCGGTGACGCAACGTTAAAGGAAGGCGAGAGAAAAACCTTTCGGATAGAAATTTTTCCATACCCCATGATACTTGAAAATACAGGAGAAATGTGGCGCAAAAACAGTCTGGTCGAAGTTGGCTGCGGCGTAGGCACCGCGAGCCCGGGAGCGAACCTAAAGGGGCGCGTTTGCTTCGATCGAACGTTGCAGAGGGAGTGGAATGCACGGGTGCGTAACGGGGTGAATCGAGAAAATTCGAGGAGGACCAGTTGTCGAATCGAATGTGTGCGTGTGTTCTCGGTCCACGATCGACACCCCGGTAATCTTCGATCGTGACGAGATTGCGACACGACAGCAGCGAACAGATATCAACGAGTCGTTCGAGGTGAAACAGTCGGCGCGACGGTGGTGGATTTTACGTGGTTAGAAACTTTAGCAACGCGTACAAGCGTGACTTGCAGAGGGAGAGAACGAGAGTGCAAGCAGAGGAGCATGCGCAGCCTGAAACCGAAAGTGCACGCCCACCCTGCCAATGCCGCCCCTGAACCTAGACCTACACCCCCGCTTTCCAGCACCCCACGGTCAACCCGGTGCCCCCAACCTTCAAAACTCCATCCGCCGAACCAACAGCTATGTACCTCTATACACGCACCACCGCCCGCTTCTTCGCCTCGAGCTACGCTCTACTACGAAACTGCATTGCGACTTTCAATCTTTCCCCGTGCAAGAAAAGATCCTATCTAGTGAATACGTTCAAATGGAATCTTTCGTGTTCGTTCTTCATACGCGAGGATCAACGATACGTTTAATTATTGAACAGCGGGGAAAGAATTTGAAAGCAACGGAATTTTCGAGGAAATGATTAATCTTCGTTAGTTTTTTCGTGGTCGAAGAAAGGGGAACGGGACACAAGATCGGATAGCCGGGTGTTTTTCAAACGAAAGAAATTCGTCTTCCGTCCAATTGTCTCTGCCCTAACGCGATCTCTATTCTACGCAGCCTCACCCTTGAATATTTTTTTTTAATCGCCTCGCCCTGCCACTTCTTAATACGCGAATCAAACCGGGGATGGGTCGTGTTCCTTTGAACGACATCTGGTTCTCTCCCTGTTTTCGAACCCCCTTCCCGAAACGAGTGGTATACCGGCTAAAGGCTAAAGCCTCATTCACGGTCACCGTCCTAGAAACCCGAAACGATCAAAACAACTTTTTCAGCCGGGGCCCTCTCGAGGACGTTGGATTATCCTTTTTCGGATGCCTCGATTTCGTGTTACAGGGGTGCTCCGTGGTCCCCCCGGTCTCCCTTTTGCGTAAGCCCTGAAGAAAAATTCAGACATCGACTGACCTGGATTCCCCGTTATGCCTCTTTCGATCGGCTAACAATATTTACACGATTCGATATAAACAGCGGGGATCCATTGTACGAACGAATCGAATTCGTTTCCGGAGTCGTGCGAAAGTACCGGAACGGTGAACCTAAGTCGGCGACATCTAAAGCTACGTTTTATTTATTGCCGGCTGTTCCTCGCCCGAGAATCGTTTCAACTTTTTAACGCAAATATTTAATTTTCAAACGACGAAACGTGTTTCTGTATTTTCAAATTTTTGCATTCATACGAACAGGGGAGGTTTCTAGCGATACCTGCACCCTCTCGTATCACGGTAGACCGTGATGCTGGAATCAGGGATGGGGTTTGACGTTATTTCGATCAACACGCGTTATTTATGGCTCACGTCGTTAGAGAATTGGGAGTCTCACGTTTCGTAACAGCTTTGCGATCGCCGATAAAATTATGCAACGTAATCTAATACGTATCTCGTTTCGCCGGTGTCCCAGGAGCCGACTCGCCTCGTGGTTTTCACTCGCACGAGCACACGCGAGCCGACAGCCGGCCAAAATCGACTCTTTTGTCATGCGTGTTCCCGATAGCATAGGTGATCTCTCTTGTAACCCGGACGCTCGTGGGAATCTCTCGAAAATTAGCCGAAAAATTTTTCTAACTCAAACTGCAAGGCGACGCGATCGGGATCACGTTTCGCTACCGAATTAGTCCGATGCTCTGTCATTAGTATATATTTAGGTAAGTTTTATTTGTACGATGATGTGTCACGATCGCACACGCGTGTACGACTCGATAATCGTCCGCAATATGCGTGCGCACGCAAACACGTGCAACGCATGATAAAAATTCACAGCCGTTCGCATTCTCGATAATCGCCCTTGTTTCTTTTCTCTCTCTCTTTATCTTTCCTCTAATTGCACGATCGGTGTGCTTTTTTCATTTTGATAGGACGCCCAACAACGTCGATAAGAAGACGAAAGCAAACTTTGGTAACACGCGTCTACGAGGCTGGTAGATATACGCGTATGCATTTCGTACGGCTTATTTTCGCGCTACCAAACGGAATCTCTGCCATTAATGACCTTCGTTGCAGATAAAAGCAACCACTCGATAAGGCGGACGGTGCAACGCTTGCCTGTTGTACACACCGCCTCTATATACCATGTATCCCATGCGTTGTTTGTGCATTTCAGTCGTCAAGAATTTCGATAACCGGAGTGCAATATAAGGAGAGAGAGAGAGTGGGTGCGGAGTGAATCGAATAACGAGACGATACACTGGTCCGATTTATTTATCAATAAACGCATTCCTGATATTTTCAGATCGCCTGGAACGAACAGCGTAAACATAGGATCCTGTTTTTGCGTATGACGAGCTCGTTCGTAACGAGACGATTTCTCTCGTTACACATAATAATCACGGCTCACGAGAGCCTGGTGACCGACAATAGAAAATAAAAAGATACACAAGCTGTGTACTCACGTCATCGCCGCTCCTCGGAGTCCAGAATAGTGCTTCGATTCCAAATAAATCTCGTCAAATGGCTCGACGTGTCTTTAACGGCGAGAGATGACTATGGAACGATGCTGAGAATAAAAATAAAAATGGAGTGTTGCAAAATCGCGCCAATGCAACCTTGGTTATATTACAAGATGGCCGACCTTACCTTTGAATTCAAAACCGCGACCACCATCAATTTTTCATGGATCCCTGTCGTCGTATACACTTCCTTTAACTGCAAACGTAGATATAAATTAGGAACTCGCAATCGAGATCGGGATCGCGACACCAACGAAACGCCAGGAAAATTTTCGCGTAGAGGTTATGTACTTAGGCGCGAAATACCGTGAAAAGAACGCGCGACAACTTACCAGTTCGCGACGCAAAAAGAAGCCCAACCGTCCTCTGTAGAATTTCGTCGTAATATACCCAAGGGCTAGAGGCGTAAATATTTACATTTCGTGAAACACATAGCTGTTTCATACCGGCGCGTCGTTTCCCTTCGAGCAAAAGTACACACGACAGAAGTCACATTCGGGAAAAAGAAACTGTCACGAGTACGGTACACACTGTTACCGAGGTAGACTTGTTTACTGACCGCAAGAGTGCGCGATATATGACGCTTCGATGATATTTAAAACATGTTCTATTTCTATTTTTGCATTTAAAAAAAGTTACTAAGTGATAAACACATCCGAGAAATTCGTGTATCATAAGCATTCCAGAGGATGTTTTGTGTCATCGGTAATTAACAATACATACGTGGAATCAAGCACGTAGGCTGTGCAGATCGTCAACCGCAAACGATAGACAAATCTCGTGAAAATCTACGACGACATAACCTCGTTATCTCTTGATATTTAGAACGTGTTTATATACTACGTGACGGAACAATTTCAAGTTCAAGAAGTATTTCGTGTCTACTCGAGGCGTAAAAACAACCGGAATTCGGTTAACCTAACCTAATGCACGAGTGGCTACTTAAGTATTATTAACTGCACTAATTCGATACCTCTCTGGTGTTTCATCTCGGCTGATCCAACTCGTTCATCCTTCGCAACGAGATCCGAAGAGAATTTTCAATTTAAAGAGCATTATCTCGTTACGATTCTGCGTAAGTTTGCGAGACACGTCGAATCGTGGTTGGTATCGTACAGCGGACATTTATGTGTACGTGCGCGCACACGTATATTGAGGATTATTCGCAGTGCCTCGTCGCGTAGCCGGCTTCGAAAAGTAAAACGCGCGCTCGCGTATGCAGCGCCGTCCAGCGGGTGCGAGCGAGACGAGACTCGAGATAGAAAAGGAAGTGACAACAGAGCGGTAGCGTGGTCTGGTCGGAGGGACGACAACGGCGCGCATCGATTGGCGCGCTAGCCGTGACCCCCACCATGCCGCTTTCGCTTTCACCCAATGGGGCCTCACTTTCGCGCTCGCTCGCGCGCCGAACCACGGCAGCCGGCACGCTGTCGTCGCCGGCGCTCAGTGACTGGTGCACCCTACGTGTGAGCAAGTGTTTTTCGTCCTCGGCTCTCCCGTGTGTGCACGAGAGGAAAAAATAAAAAGAGAAGGAACACCGGTGCCTCGGTGTGTAGTGCTACGTATGCTCGAATCGTCGTTCTCGTCGTCTTTATTTCGTTCAGTCGTGTACGAACGTACGGGGAACGCGTGACACGGGACTTCGATCGAAAATTGCGTTCCACGCTGCGCGCGCTTCGCGCCGGTGACCCTGACATTCGAGAGGAGCAACCGACACATTTGACTACCCGCGCCGGTACAGGAATCATCGTTCCATCTTCTTCGACACTTTGAGTATACGAAACCAACATCGAAAGTCGATCGCGTCGGTATTGTTACCGCGAATTTGAACTGCCAACGTAAAGGGAACTCGTGTGCCGGGACTTTGTCTAAACTACCGCGCCGCGGCGTCGTTGTGGAACCACGTTGACCTTGACTTTGGTAGCACGAATTACTTGTAGCAACCACTAACAGAAAGAGACTAAAGATTTCTTCGAGATCGAGGGAGGTGATTGCCTTGAAGAATTGTGTCGTGCGCGAAGTGACCCTGATTTTTCTCGATCATCGCAAAGAAGAAGGAAACATCGTTGGACGTGACAGGAGACTTTCAATCAACCGTCCGGTCAGTAACGTTGCGCTTTCGTACGCCCGGTACCCGCGTTTTTTCCTCCCAGGTACCAGATACGTCCGCGGCGTGTCTCTGTAATTTATCACGCGACATTTTACCAGAACAAATCGATTGTTGAATGGGTGTGCGAGAGACGACACAGGCGAGCCGTGGGAATTGCGTGAAGATGAAAGAATAGAGAGAATCGTAGAGACAGGGTTTACTGCGAGCCAAGTCTGCCGTGTTTCTAATCCTCGGTTTCCTTCGACACAGAACGTCGATCATCCGCACCAGATACATTTTCGCGAACGATCGTTTCCATTGACTTATATCGAAGGGACGATTCTCACGGACGCGTTGGAAGGGATCGGACGAAGCGTCAAGGCGGTTCGGTACCGATCGAGAGGAGTAAGAAGTGTGATGGCACCGCGTCGTCACGCGAACGGTCACGGTGGTGCATTGATGGAGAACGGCGGAGGTGTCGGCGTAGTCGGCGTCGGTGTCGGTGTCGGTGTCGGGGGCATCAACGACGCGATGGAGAATCTGCTAACGCAAAATCAAACGACACGTTGCTGCACGCCTACCGGCGAGTGTCTACGGGGCGACACTTTAATTCGTTTGAACGCGTTGCACGACACGGTCAAGGTAACCTGCAACAACGATAGCTGCCCGATCGGCCAGTTCATGCACCGCGAGTGTTTCGACGCCTGGGAGCAAACGGTGCTGACGTATCTGAAGAGTTGCGGACGCGCCCGTAGCTGGTCCGAACGGCAGCGCCATCAGAATCTTTGGACGAAAAAGGGTTACGATCTCGCGTTCAAAGCGTGCGGCTGTCGCTGCGGTCGCGGGCACCTGAAGAAAGATCTCGACTGGATGCCGCCAGGAACCGGGAACGCTTCTGGTAACCGACCAGACGAGAACGAGGCGAAGAAAAAGAAACGTCGTAATCGGCAAAATACCAGGCCCACGCTTTCGGTATCGGCCGGTCCGCCGAGCCACGGCAATCACGTTTCGACGAACGGTCGCGGTACCACCGAGGCCCAGTTGATCGAATCCGGTCGAGGAAGGGCTGGTTCGCTTTCGTCCAGCACCGGTTCGAGTTCACCACCGGCTACCAGCGAGCCAAGCGTCAGCCCTCTTCATCAACCGCAGGCGATCATGAAGAAGAAGAGCAAGGTTGATTTCTTCAGCGATCGAGCTCGGTGAGTCTTGAAACCTTTATTTTTCTCTTTTCACTAATTTTAAATACTTTCATCTGATCTGATATTATTATTGTATAATTCATGTCTTTGTCAAGGTAACAGGAATATTTTATAATTATTAATAATTTCTGTATGTACTTGTAAAATTAATTCGTCGAACGATACGCATCGCGAAAGTATATTATTTAAAAGTTTCGCGAGGTAACGCCCCTCGCAATTACCCGCGTTACGTTCAACAGTAAGACTCTTTCTGTTTTTCCGTGGTATAAAACCGGGGGGTAAAAAAGGTGGCCAGAGCTCGTTACAAACAATAATTGGCCTGCTGACGGTCACGATACTCTCTCTGATGGCTCCCTGTGAGGTCTACGGGCAACGGTGTAAGAATACAATTACCGCGATCCCTTATCAAATTGGTCACGTTTCGCTCCCACGCAAGCTTCTTCTTGGCCTCGCCGTTGCTTTCAGCCGCGTCGATAAGAGAAACGTTTCTTTCGAATCGCGAGCTTTACCTCCAACGTTAGTTACTCTTGTTCTATTTCGTGCTGTTCCCATTCCTCTTGTTGAAAATTGGTCACCGCAAAAGGCCGGTTAATCAAAGAAAAAAAAAAAAGAAACGATTGACCTTGATACCTTCGCGAATCCCTTTCAGCAGATACTGAAATTTCCATTTTTCGCTTTTATCGGTAGAAGACAAAGCCTCGCGGTATAGAGATAAAAGGGACCGCGGATTTTCGAATATATGGAGCTTTCGTCCCGCCCTCGAAAAGTGTCGTGTTAAAGTTCAGCTGAAGGGAGAGCAATAGGGGGTTAAGCGAAGGAACGTATTCCGTATGGAAAGCACACGCACGTCACCGTCCTTCTTTTATAGCACGATTTCAAAGCTCGTATAAAGAGAGAAAAGAAAAAAAGAAAGGCGAGAATATTTTCATTTCTTCGGTTGGAGCGAGAAGAGTTGTTTCGCGGTCGCGACGCGTATAAACGGCTATAAATAATCGTATTCGCGAAATACTTTCGCCGATAGAAAGAGGGAACACAGATGTTGGCCAAATGACGGGGGAGGGAAAGAAGAGAATATCAGGCGGTCCTCTTGAGTCGCAACCGGGTAAAAAGGAACGTCGGAATCTTTGCGATGTCGAATTAAGGGGTGTCGGATCGAGGAGATATAACATACATCGGCGGCGAAACGTTTTTGGTGTTTGCACGCTCGAGCGCGCAAATATCGGTCGGCACGATAAAACATGCGACACGTTCGATCACGTGGAAGTTTACAGATGAATTGAGCCTGTAATTCGATACCCGGCTCTCTCGCATCTTTCAAACGGGCCGACGTCGTTGATCTAAATCGTGGAAGATAGCCGAAACGGCTTCCAGGCTCTTTTTGTCCTTCCTTTATTTTCCTTGTTCCGAGGCTTTTGAGAACACGGCCGAACACACCGATGTTTTTCAACCTTTTGTTACCGATTCTCTAGGCCGGCGAATTCGCGATCCTTTCCCCGCGATAAGAACGAAAAATCGCCGCGTAAGCAGATACTCGATAAGTCGTCCGTACGGCACGTGAAACGAGTTCAATCGTACGTTATCAATTTTAAGAACGTAACAGGCAGATAAGAGGGAGCCAGGACGAAATAAGAGGCAATTGAAGGAGGAATGTCTGTAAAGAGCCGCGCGTTCCACAGGACATGAATGAACGTGGGGGGCTTCGTTTCCTCGGAATCGTATAGGGGTATAGAGATGCAGGCATATCGTCTATAGGTCGTTTCTGGCTCTGTTGGAGCAAAGACGAAGGGCAGCAAACACGAGGATTACGAGAATGCCCCACCCATGTTATACACACTCTTACTGTATCCTATATTTAGATCCGGTCTTGGAACCTGTCCTATTTCTGTTTATTTTCCACCGGTTCGATGGACAGCCCCTGCCGAAATCTTCCCTCGCCAAAAAGGGGCTATAAGTGTTTCTCAAAGGGGCACGCCCGGCTGTATGCGTGAATTTACACGATGTTTTATTTTAGGCTCGATCTCGTTAGTGGACCGAAGGATTCCTTATCTCGGACTCTCTTTAGCCACGGCCTTCGGGACTCGTCGAAGCTTTACGTTACGATAACGCTTCTTGTATATCACACATTTCGTTATGTCATCTTTTGAACTTGCACTCGTAAGCATGCGATAACCGGTTAATTCGATATCAATGTTTAAATTTGCTTCTTCAAAAACACAAACGCCTGTTTGTTTAGCTATAATTTCCGAAGAAATGCATCTCGAGCATCGTTTCGCTTCAGAGAAAACCAAATGATACCTCGTCGAGGTTTTCGTTTCGCAGCCTAGTCCCCGGTGTGTTGGTTCAATGGTGAAATGCACCGGGAGCGAGTTTAGGTAGGGCTCCTCTTCCTCTCCGTTTCGTTCTCGCGTGTCTCCGTGGTAGAGCATCGCCAGTGTGTTCGCCGGGAGGATAAAGCGGTGGATGGCGAAGAAGGAAGAGAGATAGTAGGCGAAGAGGGCAGAGGAAAAGAAAGAACGCGAAGAAGAAAGGAGGAGGGTGCTCGTAGCCTTGACCGTGGCCACCTCTTCAGGGCCAGCGAGCGAGGAGCTTGACGTTCTAGCAGCCTCCAAGGCCAACTGCATGGAATCACGCCACCACGATTCATTTAAACGGGCCGAACCGAGCCGGTGATATCGTTAAAAAGCCCTTCGCGCCCAATCTTACACAGTTGTATGTGTACTTTTCAAAAATTCTCTCGGTTACCTTCAGCTTCCAATATAAAACAATCAATTGTAAAATTTCCGCAAAAGCGGCTCGGTTGTCCCAGGTGGTCTCCCTCCATGGTCCGCGCTCCTTTTACGGCGTTCAATTAAAAGGAAGAGTTCCAAACGATGCATTATTCCGGATCTTACGATCGTTCCACGTAAAAGGGTGGCTCTCGTCGAAAGAAATATTCCTCTTTCAACGTGGAACAACGTCGAATTATAAATTCCGAACGACTCCGTTGTAGTAGGAAAAGAGGTTGAACAGGAAGGAAGGAGGGAGGGGTACGGTGGTTGAAACGGTTGAGCGTGCACCCCCCATCGCCCGATTCCTCGTTGATATTTCGGACGACATTTTTCCAGGGAAGCAATTCGAATTTATGCCGCTCGTGATTCTTTTTTCATCCAAACTGCTGCTTGCCCGATCACCCTCGCGTTACGACACACATATAGAGACATTTTGGCGCCGCAACGCGACCTATAAATCCCACTTTCACTGAAGTGCGACGAGACCAAGGGTTTCTCCCCCTGCGCGCGTTACTCGCGTTTTAACCAAAAATAAATTACGTTGGAAGGCAGTGTTCCGCAGCCGTTCCCAAACGGAGAGAAAAATCCGACCGTTCGTCTCTCTTCGAATTCCGTTTCTCCTACGGTGTCGCGTCGCGTCGTCGGAAAGAGTAAGAGTGTGTATCGCGTTTGCAGAGAAGAATATTTTCCAGCTAGGGGGCGGACTCCTTATTTCGCTCCCGTTTTACGATCTCATTACGCCTCGCGTTCACGAGAGAGGCTACGCGGCTTACATATATATCGAGGCATTCACGTCGAGAGAAACTTTGATGATTTACGCTCGCTAGAATTCTACTATCGCTTTGAGGGATCGAGGAGAGACGGGCTGTTTCGAAAGGTTCAAAGGGAGTGACAAACGAGTGGATGATCGCGAAAGGGGGAGGCGTGTTACGGTAAATAAGGGATGCACGAGCTAATGGGAATTCATCTTTGCTTCCGAAATCGCGGTTGCCCGGCCACCCCTCTAGCTTGTAATTAAAAAACACCTGGGGTTTGAAACAAAGGCAAACAGAGAGAGAAAGAGATAGTCAGCGGGTGTACAAAGAACGCGATTCCATGGATTTCGAGGGAGATACCTTGAAGATACGAAGATTTAGATATCCCGATTGCCGAGCTTGTAGGTATAGAAGGCCGCAAGCCAGGAAACGACGAGAGGATGGCACTCGACCGAAGAATTATTGAATTTCCGGCGAACCGGTGAAATTCCGGGCGCGCTTTCCAGTTTAATTCGGCGCGTTCGGAGGGGCAATATTGTCCAAAGGGGGGGTGGAAAACGTTTCGAGGAAATTTCTCGAATTCTTTCGAATATTTCGTTTACTCGACGGGAAACACGCTCGTTCGGGAATAACTCCGTGGAACGAAGTTTTTTGCCGAGTTCGCGAAGCCCTTCTTCTCCCTCACGGTTTGCTATGCATAACTGCCCGGTGAACCGCGTTCCCGTGCACCTGCGAATATTTTCACCGTCCATCTAAAGTTGCGCCTCGTTCCTCGAGATCGACGCGTGTCTAAGCTTACCAGATAGATGCTGATAAAAAGCTGTGGGTATGCGTGTCTATGGCAAACGGTGGCTCGAGTTCCGGGGCAGTTGCTGCGTCAGGGCGAATTCGAGCGAGGGAAGACGAAGAAAGGGTTGCGTGGAAATGTAAAACAATTAAACGTACCGAGGAACGACGATGAAATAGATGCGGGTTTTACGGGAATTCAATTCCTGCCGGTGGTTAGCGTCGTTTTCCGAAACATCGCCGTTCACCGATATTATTCTTTAATTGCGCGCCGCTGCTCGTGAACGGCATGCAAACGCGTAACGAGGTAAATTGTAGCCGCCGGCTGTCGAATTATACTCGCACGATCGCGTTTAATCGCACGATAATTGCTAACGGGGAGGCGAAGCTACGTTATTAACGTCGCCGCCCCTCGATCCGTCCTTCTGAAAGCCTAGAATACGTTCGCGTGTACGCGTCTCGGTACACCTTTCGTTAGCAGTAACGGAGAAATGGCAAGCAACTGGTTAAATCGGAACGCAAACAATGCGAAAAGTTATTCCGATGATCGGCGAATCGATTCGTAAAAGATTCTATTTTTGGTTATCGGCGATTCGATTAACCTCGCCGTTCTCCGATCGCGAACAGTTTACGAAACGGCATGGAACAACTTCGTAACCGATATGGGTGCCCCTCTGATTCGCGAATGCATAATGATCGAGTCGAAATGTCAGGGTTAACCAGGGGTCCAGTGTATTTGTGTAGCCGAAACGCCGGAAATGAACGAAAAGTGTTTTTTTTCTTTTTAATTTACTACGTTCGCGAAATACACGTGTGATAAATATTCAGCTGTTCGTCAACACTTTCATGGTCACACGTTTCGTTGGATCTATAATTCATGTTTAGTCATTTTTTCTTTACATCTCTCAAGGAGTTCATTGATAACGGGTCCTTGAATAGTACATTCGTTCTACAATTTCTTCTAACGTTTTTTACATCACTGTTTATTAAAATATAGTATAGAAAGGATGATGATAGAAGGATTAAAAAGTAAAGGGTGTTGCAAGGTAATCGTCTAGAAAACGGAAGTGATTATTTATCAGAGGGGATGTTTGCGATCCGTCTGCTCCCCGCGTGCCGGCTCACGGAAGCTTTGTCGCGTGGTCTAGGGTGGAAAACAGTCGTTACGTGGAATCGCGAAGTAATAGTGGAAATAAGCCGAAAGAAAAAGGGATCCCCGACAGAGGAAGGATGAGTTCGGGGATTGACCCTGAACCCTGACCCTTCGGGCCGATGGACCACCCCAAGGATATCTTAAAGACGACGGGGCGAAATCTCGACTTCTCGATTTATCAACGTACCGTTTCACAAAAAATCAAAATTTGCTCTTTAATTGAATTTTCTTCGAACCAAATTTTCGCGTTATTTTCGACATAGACTTCTTCATTCTTTCTTCTCCCCTGTATGAGAAGGGTGTTGCTTATTAAAAAAAGTACGCGGCTTCTAAAAGATCCCCGCTGTGCTTATCTCCTCTTCCTTCGTTCTTCTCTTTACGTCGCTGTGTAATTTCAACGGTTTTTCTCGCTCGTATCGTCGCCACGAGCGGAAAACTTTATAAAGGGATTAAAGTTTATTATATCTGCGATGCGGTGGAATCGCGCGGATTCGAAACTTTGATTCGTCTCTTTCCTTTTCGTCACCGTGCTTAATAATAACGATGCGATTTTATTATCAACAACTGTCTGTTTCTCTCTTAAGAGTGAGAAAGAGAGGGATAAAGAAAGAACGCGTGCAGAAAGTTTGCCAGGAGATTACAAACTCAACAACGAAAACGTATGATTCATTCTTGTAATCAACGGGGAGCCGAACGTCGAAGCGTTTAAAAATAAAAACGGTGCACGTTCGATGTATCGTGCGCGTTTGAAATTAGCCGCGCGAAATTCGCGTTCGACGTGTTCCCGCTGGCAATTAACGCGGCCGCGGTAATAAAGAAACTTAATTTAGGAGTGTCGAAAAGAGAAACTCTGCGCGAAACTGGTTCGCGGATGCGCTCGTACACGACGATCACGAATTCGTAACGAGATGTTTGTCAAATTTTATGCAAATTCGAGGGACCGCGTAAGGCTGACACGCGCATTTTCGAACGTTATTAATATTCATGAACCGCGTGTCGCTTTTTCTTTTATTCCGTTTCCTTTTGTGTCACGCGTTTCCCGTGAAAGATCGTACGCGTTTTTCCATCCAGCAGTGAAACCTGGGTCAGTTTCGGCACCGACTGTACGGGTAATGAATGTTCCACTGCAAAAATGTTTATCTCGTTCGTGCGAAATATCGAGAAGGGAACCGGTTCTCGACCGGTTCCATTGCCGAAACAAATGTTGACCGATATAAAAATCCTGCTTTGATTATAAGCTTGCGATTTCGTTAGGGCACCGGTTCGCCTGGTTGCAGTAAATTGCCATCTAAATTAAATGGATTTTTTAATTAGACTTAAAATACCGACCATGATTCATACACTGATACATTGATAAAATTTCTCAATATTAGTGTCACTCGTGTAACCTTGGGCGCTGGCGAACCAGTGCTGCAGCTTTTGATTTCGTAATATTTATCAGAGGATAACTTTGTAGCTTGGTTTATTTATTAAATGTTGGGTAATCGAAAAATTTGCAAAATATAATTGCTTTTCGCGAGCACGTTTAATCATGCGTGGTAAGCCGTCTTATTTAGCCCTTACCCGACGTGGCTCGTGCGAAAGTAACAAACAAATTGCGTATCGCGTTTATCGTCGAAGAAAGAGGACGGGGAAACGTAGGAAACATTTGCGAGGGTCGTTTATTAAAATCTCGCTCGTTAGAAGATCACGGCCGACATTGACCCACAGGGCACGCAAGCATCCAGACTCGAATCACGCGTTTCACGGATAAGAAAGTCGTCGTGGAAAGTGGAGGATCGCGTTTGTTGTTACATCATTACACGCATCTCGTATATCTTTTCGAAAGGAGTTAAAAAGTTCCTTGAAAACTGTACACGTGGGCGGCGAAGTTGCTCGTCAAACGTTGCCTCGCAGCTATTCATTATAACCGAGGGAAAGATAGACCAGAGATCGGAGAGGATACCTTTTGCCTCTCACAAATATAAATTCTACGTCGAATGCGAGCCAGGTATCTTGACCCTTTCGTTTACGTAAAGCGTAGAAGAATAAAAATATCTTCGAAGCAGGTTGATTCTTCAAAAATTTCGAAATTCGATCAAATTTTCCTGAATGTCTCCGCGAATTCGCTCTTGCAAGAAAATTAGGAGCATTGTATCGGTTGATAGAACCTGCAGGGGAAGTTGAGGAATATTTTAACAGTGTCAGAGCGAACAATGTCGTGTAAATGAATAATACAATCGTCTCTGGGTAACTGAGACCCGGTGGGTTGATCTTGACAGCGAGAGCCAGGTTTAATTCGAAGACTTTAGGAAAGATTTGGCGAGGAGTTCGCGAACATCCATTCGCCGGTCTATGAATTAAACGTGTGCATGCGTCAACTTTTCCATCCGTGAAACTTTGCTCCATTAAAGAAACATCTTGACGCGTACTCGTCTCTTAGATCTTCTCGAATACTTTCGCTTCCAACAGACCACGTATTCCTCTTGAAATCGTTCTCCGGCAAGCATCGGTTTCCCGGTTACGTCTCGACGTCGAGATCCTTTTTCCGCTCGTCGTTTCGTTCTTACAACTTCTTTTTCCCTGACGTTTCATGAGAAAGGAGAGAAGGACGTAAGGAAGGGAAAAGGAGCCCTTTCCCGAAGGAACAAAGACCGTACACTCGTGTTTTATGTATAATACTCGCGAGAGGTGGTGCACTTTGAATCCTTATTTACGCGAACCCGTTATCTACTTCGGTTTCCTCTTTTCCACGTTTTTCCTGTACGCCTCCCTTACGGCTGACTCGAGATCGCGAAAGGATACGGAAGCGGCAGCAGACGAGAAAAGGATTTTCCTCTCTTTCCTCCCTTCTCTTGTTTCTTTTCCTCGCGAACGTTGCGCCCGTATATCGCGCACGTAGTCCAGTGTAAATTATGGCGGACCCGAGGGTAGTTTACTGCTAATTGGTTTGTTAACGTCGCGTTTACCTCTCCCAAGACGCCAGTCTTTCTTTCGTCTCTTCTTCCTTTCGTGTCCTTCCTTCAAAGTGTAATTAAATTTGTTTAGAAGCTCGCAAGTTCGGAAAGTCTGCGGGGGCGTATGCGGAAGGAATTTTCAATCATGTGGTCGATAAAAATGAACGATTCGATGGAAACCAGTCTTATCCTTAACGATTTACCGGCCATTATCTTCGACTTCGTTCTCGGAAATGATAGATATACTCGTGGGAACGAATCGGTTCGATTTTTTCTTCAGCAGCCCGTGTTTCGCGGCTCGGTTTGAAATGCAAAATTCGTTTCGATTTACGTAATTCTCGATTATGTGTGTGTGAGAGAGACAGAAATTGTTACGAAACCGATCGACCCAGTCGACTCGGTGGCGCCGACCGGTAGGGTTTCGGAATTGACCGGCGATTCCAGGTTTCTGGTCGAATGCCGAGCGAACCGGCGAGTCGGAAGGAATTTTTTAATTAGCGGACGACGGACAAAGGTTACCTGCACTATTGCCCGGAGCCTGTAATAACCATCGTGTTCCGTACGGCTCGTGGTTATGAGTACACATAACTCGTTCAAAAAATACCGAGATAGTCAAAGTGTTACAAATATTGAGCCGGTAATAATTAAAACACCAAAATTTTTATTATTAAAAATTTGAAATGTATCAACGACGTAGTTCATGGGGGTTTCTTGCGGTATTAACCCCTCTGCGTGCTAGGCTGAATCTATGAAGGACAAAGTTTATCCGGAACCGTTAGGATATCGACAAAATCCGACAGGGTTGATATCGCGTTCGAGTAAAGGATCATCCCTTCGCATAAACACTCGAATTATCAGCGAAACGTTCTTGATTCTTCCTCGAGTCGATACATGATCGGAACGCCAAATAAATCAAGGTATTTCCAAATATATTTATATCCTAATAATTCTTATAGTAAGCGATCATCAGAAAGGAACGTTTCAACGTTTCCTTTCTGTGTCATAGAAACGTCTCACTCGATTTGCCACGTACTCGGATGTATCTAGGTCTTAGCATACAATTTGCAATAACAATAAAACAGATTCACCCCGGTCGTCTGTAGCGAAGATAATAGAGTGACTGGTGTGAAACGCGGTTCGAACGGTTGCATGTCGGTTAAGAGGAACTCGCTTTAGACATCGGCACACGTCGCCGAAGTACGTGTGGTCCGGAGGGTGGCAAGTTGGGTCTCATTCTGAAAGTTCACCGAGGGTGGTATTCGCGCTTTCCGCCGCTCGTTCGAGCGTGTTGAACGCATAATCCGGGGATGGGATTCGAAGTTGCCTCGAACACCGCGCGTATAACTGCGTACGAGCAAACTCGAAACGGATTAACCGGTGGGAGACGAGTTTTCAGGTAATCCTCTAGCTCTCTTCTCGCTGAAATTCATTTGCCGTCAACCTTTATCGTGACTCTAAGGGTGTCTCGCACGATTTTCTCGGGATATATAGCTGTTTCGCATTTTATTTCGGTTTTATTCGATTTTGAGGGTTTTTGCTGGCTTCTCAATTTCTTCTATTTTATAAAGCAGAGTCAAATATCTAAATTTCACAATTAACCCTTCCAAGTGTAAACGAGTCAATTTCCCAGAAGATAATCTCTTCTGTGTTTTATTTTCTCTGTATTAATATCGAAAGATAATACAGTTTCTGTATACCGATCCAAATATTTCGAGAAATCTAGAGGAAGAAGGAAGGGTCTCGACAAGATGGGGTGAACGAGTAAATAAGGGCACGTCTTCGGTATAATTATTTGTAAACTCGCCATTATATTCCCCGAAATATTTGTGTTTTCCCGCGGTGCTTTTCGCCCCGTGGCGTATTTGTCCTGTCTCGGGTATCTATCGAGAAAACCTGGTCCGTAGTATATACCAGTCTCTGGAGGCAAATAAACGTTGCGCCGTGATTATATCTATCGGTCTTTTCTCCCACGAAGTTGTCCTTTCGGTTTACTTTGCTCCCTCGATTTGTCCGTTACTGGCATCGTTGACAAGTCACTCGAGCCTGGCAAAGCCTGTAACAATTCGGCTACATGAAACGGGGTCCCCCATTTCGCTG